CCCTCCTCCTTCTCCTCCCCCTCCTCCTCCTCCTCCTCCTCCCCCCCTCCCCCTCCCCCTCCTCCTCCTCTCTCTTTTTTGGTGGTGACTATGGCGGGTTTTTAACATATAATTTCAGAATTCAGGTGCCTAGGTACTTCTTAAGGTCACTTTGAATAAGAGTATATGAGATGGGGGAATGTTGGTATAGTTGTCTTTGGAATATATAATTTGTTTTATTTTTCTGTGGACTTTTAAGTGTAATCTTTTGCTAATATGCCTACTTTTAGCAACAAACAACTTTTTAGCAGTATTTTTCTGTGGCCTGGGTGTGTGTATCTGTAGAACAAATTACCAGCAAAAGGATTGCCAGATCAAAGGATTCCATACCTTTAAAATATTAAGAGATGTCAAATTGCCTTCCTAAATGGCTATTTCTTACTCTAACAGAAGTTTATGTTTAGTCTTTTGTAGGTCTCATAAGTGAAAAGTACACTATTTTTAAGGAGTTGCTTATCTTTTCCTTATTACTTAATACTTTTTTGTGTATTAATCCTTTTGTCTGGCATATATATTGGTCATGTCTTTACTTTTTTGTGTTGTGCCTTTGCATCTCTGTGTCTGTGCATATATCTGTATCTTAACTTACAACTCTACCGGCATGTCTATCTATTTGAGGTGCTGCAAGTAGCCAGACTATGTGCCTAAGCTAAGAATACAAATACAAAAATGCATGTCAAATTTTCAGATTTTGACACATTGTTAGATTTTCTTTGATATTTTACCTTTCTTCATTGCTACTCTTAATTTAAATGATCATAAATTACCCGTGAAAAGGTCAGAGAAAAATTTTTTATTGAGGTAAAATTCATATAATCAAATTCACCATTTTAAAGTATAGATAAATTCTTACATTTTATTTTATATCAGAGATTGGATCTATTCATTTAATACATGTTAAAAGCTATAATGTGACTATGGAAATCGTGATTAAAGGAGCAATTTCATAAGAAATAAATATCTTTAATGACTCTTGTAAGTTGGAGTCATGAGTACAGTATTCATTTTATTCTGGAAAACCTTTATAAGGAAGTTTGAAGAAGATGATTATCAGATTAATTAAATTATAAATGTAGGCCAGGGATGGTGGCTCATGCCTATAATTCCCGCACTTTGGGAGGCCAAAGTGGGCAGATGGCTTGAGCCCAGGGGTTTGAGTTGGGTATATGTAAGTTGTTTTGATGAGCATGGAAGAATAACTAACTCTTGCTACATCATGCTTTTCAGCAGAAACTTTATTATAAAAATATTACAGAGAAATCTGTACCTGTCACAGTACACAGTAATCTGTGTACTGTGTCACAGTAATCTGTACACAGAAATCTGTACACAGTAATCTGTGTCAAAGATTGTGGTAAACTAAATGCAACTAAACTTTCTATTAATATGCATAATGGTCATTTGTTACACATTTATTGAAACTTTTGTCTTCAACTGCCAGTATGGGAATAACTAATTAAAACCTTTTTTTGAAAGCTGTCACAACAGTTTTGACTTTATAAAAGCATAACATTACACAGTGGGAATTTCAAATACTGTTGAGACTTATGTTTTACTAAATTGAGTTTTTACTGAGAATCTTAAAGGAAAGCTGAAATCTCCAGAACACTTTTATTTCAGGTTGGAATTAAAACTTTGTTGTAAGCAACAGTCTTATCTGACAATTGTGTGAAAACTTTGGTCTTTATTCAAGCTTTTGGTTACTAATACAGACTCTTGATTTCAGAGTTGTTTACAGCCTTTTCATATGCCATACACATATGTACATTCATATATCTGTACACACACGTATACACACTCTCTTGCCCCAAGAAAAGATAAAATCTTTCATACTTACAATTCATGCTACATTAATGTAAGACTCTTTAATCATATCTAAAATTCAGTTAATGATCAGAAAAAATACATTAAACATTCTAATATTTTATTTAGAAAAATTATATTGAAAGTCTGGTTTTCAACCTGAATATTGTTTGCGTTATGGGCAGTTACTATCAGGATTCTAAATCTGCAGTGTTTGACTTCCAGCATAATCTTTTTATTTCATAATAGAGAACTTTTTAAAATCTAGCCTGTCTAGAATGAGTAGTTCCTCATGAGGCTGAATTTTAAAAACAGAGTTAAAGCAAAGAAGGAAGGCATTCATTTTCATGTTGAAAATATTTCTAAAAGGAACATTTCCTCATATGGTCCAACTATTAAATGCAGGTGAAATAAGCCAAAAAAAGAGAAGCTGATTTTTTTTTTTTTTTTTTGCAATAAAATAACTGAAGAAATGACTCAAGGCACTTTCATGTGTACATACATATTTTTATTATTTTTTTCTTACATCTCTGATATATTTTGATAAGCTGAATACTTTCTCTAATAAAATTATTTTAATGTAGTTTATAAATGATCTGCATTAAGTGCTCTTTTTTTTTATTAAAACTTCATAGTATAATCTACTGAGAATAATTTTGGCTCTAACAGAAACAATTCTGTTCTTGGATCTAGCTTTGTATGTAACACCAAGTACGTAATTTCTCCTCCATATGTACCTCATTTACTGCAATGTTTCTATTACATTTCAGACTTTCATATGGTGGGTAGTATCTGTAGCCTGGAAGAACAGTTAGCAAATACACTAATTGCACTTTTGTGGTATGGTCTATTCTCCAGGCTTACTATTATTGATTTAATTGATGCCTGCTGCTTAATCAGAGGTTTTACCCACATGGAACTATTTGATAAGCTTGGCATAAAATGCAAGATCTGTAAAATGTAAACAATGTTCATAGTATAAGGACCTGTAATCAAGCCAAACCTCTAAGTCATTTGAAAATAGTGCAGCTGCATGAAAAGTAGTTTTCTATTTGATCTTTTGCTATGGACCTGTAAAAGTACTTGTCTTTACTGTGGCATCCATATGCTAATATTTGTTATGATAGTTCACCTCCTTTTTCTCCTTTTGCTCTCCCTTATCCCACTTTCCTACTATTTTGCCTTCCCCTACTCCCTTCATGGTTATCTTATTCTGGTTCCTTATTTCTCTCACTGAATATCTTATGCTTCTTACTATTTTCTGATTTTCTTAATTGTCACTTTCTTTTCTTGGACTAATCTGAGTCAGACCATACTAAGTATACTGAAACAATATTCTGAAAATATATTGAAATATACTGAAAATAATATGGTGAAATAATATACTAGAAATACAGCTGGAAATAATCTTGTAGCTTTTGCATTCTTTGGGCACCACACTTTGGGAAATATGGATTGTATGTCTTTGTAGACAGGTTCTGTTCAGGATATTTCTTAGGTCTTGCAGCCAGTCATTTTCTGTTCTATTTTTGGCAGATGATAGTTCCTTGAGAGAAATTATAAGTTTTAATGTATGTTTACTTCAAGACCTAGAAAGTTGTATATTGTTAACATTTTTTAGACAGTGTTTATACAGCTACTATTGTAGAATCATCTGTTGGAGAAGAGAGAGTAAAATGTAATGAATGCGGCCATTAATACCCCTGTTCATCCCAAATAGTCCTTAGAAAAGATGCTGAATTTGCCGGTGAGTTGTGGAAAAAATGCTGAACTTTAGCACTAAATGAGAGCATATAGTTAAATATCATTTCATTCAGTACAAAGAAAAGAATTAAAACTGATAAATCCTTTTACCTTTTTTTGTTTTCTGGGACGATTTGTCATAGTTTTAGATGTCATTAGGAGTAGAACTTTTAAAGGGATGTGGGTTCCAATTTCTGAAGCAATTTTACAGTAGAAGTTATTAAAATTAAAAAGTAGGATAACAGGTTGATATGTTCTCCCATGTTAAATAGTTGGTGTTTGCCTTCTTCAGCATTGCAGCCATCATATTTCTTTTGGATTTTCTGACACTTTAGAGCTTGAAGTGATACACTTTGTATGTGTGTGTGTGTGTGTGTGTGTGTATTTTATTTATTATTTAGCATGTAAATTTAAATGGCTTTGAGAATTTTTCACTGACTTTGTAATACCCTTCAATATATTTGTAGACGACAATGAAGTATTAAGAACCCGAAGTTGAAAATCATTTAGGAGAAAGATGCAGATTGTGAAGTTAGATAAACATTTAGCTTTAATATTACTTATATATATTTAATATCATAATTTTTAATGTTGGGAGTGGAGTTGTTTGTTTTTTCATTGCTATTTTAATTATGTATTTTAACAGAAAACCACTTAATGGGTATGAACCAAATTAAGAACAGCATCAAAGATTTTTATTTTAAATATATTTTTTTTCATTTTACTTTTTCTCATGTATTGATCTTATTTTAATGTATCTGTATTCCATTCCCTCAAATACTTCTCCTTATGCATAAAGTTATGTACAGATTCACAGTGTATTCATGAATCTCCTTCTTTTGATACAGTTAATCAGGCAGCAAAAGAAGATACCGTGGTTTTGAAGATTGGCTCTGTTGCCATGGCTCCCCAGGCTGACAATCCCCTTGGCAGATCTGTCCTTAGGAAAGATATTTACCAGTAAGTTATATTTTCTTATGTCCAATCTTGCAACAATTTTCATCCTGCAAAGACGTACAGTGATCAATAACTTACTTAGTATGGCCTATGGAAATATTTCTCATTCAATATCTTTTGATATTTAAAACCAGATTTTTCTGATTTTCTTCAGTTGTGGGTTTTTTAATTCATTCAGACAAATCAAGTATTTCTGTGAAGTGTTGATGAATAACAGAATGTAAGTACTAAGTCACCATAAAACTGAAGAAGCATAGTTTGGAAAATTTTAGCAGATGTCAAATTTGACCAAATCTCTAATCACATAAGAATATGAGGCCCTCTGTAGAACCACCACATCCTACTGTAGTCATGTTGTATCAAAGTGAAACATTTTATTAATTTAAGTGTAAGCCATTATTTGAAATGTAGGAATGTGGATGTCATATGGATCAAAGCTGTAAAGAAAAGCAAACTTCTAAAGAGAAATTTCACAGTAAACACTTTCTATGAAAATGCTATGCTCTGGATTTTGTCACTGAGTATTTGCAAACCACACCAAGCATACATGGACAACTAAACTGGTGAACATATGTAATCAACATGATAAAAATAATGTATGATTCATACTGAAGTTGGCACTGCTGTCGGACAGAAAAGTACAGTTGCAAATAATACCAAGTGAGAAAAGTCACAGAAATACAGACGAACAAGTGTCTTATTCTTCTTGCTGCTCTGTTTTTCAGATGTTGTAGTCTTACTCTTTTAAAAAATAAATTCCAACTGCTCTCCAGTAAATGTTACTGCTAGGAAAAGATTCTAATTTTGGTGATACATTTACCGTCTAGAGGGTGATAGCTATTTTTACTTTAAACAGATCTAGGAACCTTATTTCTCAGATTTATTTGGTATTTGAGTTACATTCTTTTCCTTTGTCTTATGTATGTATGATCTCTTTCTTGTATTATTTTTTTAGGAATCTAATAGAATTCAGCCCTTAAGTAAGTTTTTGTGTTGCTAGCTTATGAATAACCTTAGGATTTCAGAGCTGAAAGAGGCTTTAGGAATTGTCTAACTCAACTTCCTTATTTTACAGATTAGGAAACTGAATAGCCAGAAGAATACTATAGTTGTCCTTGGTGAAACTAATAGAGCCAAGATTACAATTCATATCTTCTGACTCCCGTAGGATCTAGGGACATGATTATAATACAAAATAAATTCTAGATGAGAATATTTTAATTTTCTAACATTTGAATATTCTTCCAGGTGTCTTTATCTTTCCTACTTCAGAAGTAAGTGATCCTAAAATAGAGACCTACTTTACTTTTGGTGGAAGAAACATTTTATATTAAGAGATCTTATCACCATCCGTAAAGTGAACCACTGAGATAATTCCTTTCCTCTGTACCGTTTCCATATTCTGACTTTTGCTTGAGTTGTATTTTCACTTGCTGGGAACAGTTGTGTGAAATTCTTTTTTTTAGGGTTTCCTTCTGTTTCTCTTGCAACTTCTTTTCAGTTGTTTTTACTGGTCTTCCTCTTAATCTCTTTGATATTAGTATTTCTTAGGGTCTTCCTTTTATTCCTTTTTGCCCAACTCTTCTTGGGTGAGGCTATCTGGTCTTTTCGCTCAGGACAACTTGAATTCCAAGCATGTAGAGTAACATTGGGGTGGCCCTGTAGATGAAGGTTAGCAATATGTGTTAGAGTATCAAACATAAAATTCTAGATGCTGGGCTGGGCATGGTGGCTCATGCCTGTAATCCCAGCGCTTTGGGAGGCCGAGGCAGGCAGATCATGAGGTCAGGATATCGAGACCTTCCTGGCCATGGTGAAACCCTGTCTCTACTAAAATACAAAAAATTAGCTGGGTGTGATGGCGTGCACCTGTAGTCCCAGCTACTCAGGAGGATGAGGCAAGGGGAATTGCTTGAATCCGGTAGATGGAGGTTGCAGTGAGCCAAGATCATGCCACTGCACTCTAGCCTGGCGAAAGAGCAAGATTCCATCTCAATCAATCAATCAATCAATCAATCAATAAATTCTAGATGCTGGATGACAAACTCCACCTAATAATTTTTCCTTGAAAGCTCACATTGAAAAGTCACTCCTAAATAAACAAACTAACAAAAAGTATTCATATAAGAGCTTATAAAAATTGTTTCAAGATCTCAGTGAAATGCTGTATCATCAATATCAAAGGAGTAACAGCGGAATTAGAAACCACTTTTGACTGAAATATTCAGAGTGGGAGTGGTTCAGTTAGAATACAAATATATCCACAAAGCAAAAGACCCTGCATACTAAAGCTTATTTTATTATTCCCATGATTTCATTAACCATAAAATCTCAGTGAACTAGATGCAGAAGTCCACCTATTACATAATTCTATTTCTATGAAATGTCCAGAACAGACAAACTCAGAGAGACAGAAAGTATATTAGTAGTTGCCAGGGCTTGAGGGGAAGTGATGCTAACTAGGATGGAGATGATTTTGGGGTGATGGAAATGTTCTTGAATTAGATAGTAGTGATGATTGCATAACTGTGTGAATACACTGAGAAATACTGAGTTGTGTATAGTAGTCCCCCTTATCCAAGATTTTATTTTTTGTGGTTTCAGGTTAACTATGGTCCAAAAATAGGTGAGTACAGTACAATAAAATATTTTGAGAAAGAGATCACATTCGTATAACTTATTACTATATATTATTATTATCCATTTTATTATTAGTTATATTGTTAATCTCTTTACTGTGCTTAATTTAGAAATTTAAATTTGTACAGTGTGCTGTTATCTCCAGTTCCAGGCATGCACTGGGAGTCTGCAGTGTGTCCCCTGCTGCGAAGTAGGATAAATCCTACTACTGTATTTCAAAAGGACGAATTTTATAGAATGTGATTTTATGTCTCAATTTTTAAAATCTCAGTGAAAGAGAATGTTAGGCAAGCCTGAATTATTTTACTAGTTAGGTGATAATTTGACTTTTTTCCTGCTAAATGGATTAGCATTCTTAATCTCCAAAACTTTTTTTTTTTTTGGGGGGCTAGGAAGGCTTCAGTTTGTGTGACAGTTTGTGTTATTTCATTCTTTTTGAATCTCTGTGAATTTTGTTTTTTTATTCTCTAGTAAAAGGTAACTTGCCTCATTTTGTGATCCACAATACAGTGTTCCCAAAAATGTTTTCCAAGAGATAGAAGCCTCATGTAATATTAAAAGTTGCTCAAATAAGTTTGACAAATGCTTGGTAGTCCAAAATTAAAATACTGTTTCAGCTTGGTGTCTCAGAGCTCTTAAAAGACTATGTGCACCGTGAATTCCTAAAAGGAAACAAGCCAAGGATGTCCACTTTTAACACTCCTATTCTGCATTTTATTAGAGGATATTGCCAGAGTAATTAAGAAAATGAGATAAAAGTCTTCTGGATTGTAAAGAAGAAATAAATCTATGTCTTTTTATAAATGACATGATCTTATAAATAGAAAGTCCTAAGGAATCTACTGAAAAACTGTTGGGCAAGCAAGCAAGGTTAACCAAGTTGCAGGCTACAACAAGATCAATGTATAAAAATGCATGAAATATATAAAATAAAATATGTAAAAATTTATAAAAATCAATTAGCAATGAACAATCAAAAATGAAATTAAAATCACAGTTCCAGTTATAATACCATTAAAAAGAATACAACACTTATGAATAAATTTGTCAAAAAGGTGCAAAATTTTACACTCTGAAAACTACAAAACTTAGTTGAAAGAAATTTTAAATGACTTAATTACATGAAATACATACCGTGTTTGTATTTCAGAAGACTTAGTTTTGTTAGATAGCAGTACTCCCCAAATTGGCCTACAGATTCCACACAATTCCCATCAGAAGTTCAGCTCTCTTTGTGGGAATTTGCAATCTGATTCTAAAATATGTTTGAAATTCTGAGGGACCCATAATAGCCAAATTAATCTTGAAAAAGAGGTATGAAGTTGGAGAACTCACAGTACTTATTTCAAAACTTAAGCAATGGGAATCAAAACAGTGACACACTACAGAAGGATATAGATCAGTGAAAAGAATTGAGCATTCAGAAGTAAACTGTCACATTTATTATCAATTTTTTAAATAATGATGTCAAGGTAAATCAATGGTGAAGAATAACCTTTTCAACAAATGATACTTAGACTACTGGATATCCACATGAACTTCAACCCCTACCTCACATCACACACAAAAATTAACTCAAAATGGATCAGACTGTAATGTGGTGCTGAAATCTTGAAACTTAGAGAACAATTAGGAGTAAATCTTTGTGACCCTGAATTATGTAATGGTTATCTTGACTATGACATCAAAAGCACAAGGGTTAAAAGAAACACTAGATAAATTGGACTTTGTCAAAATTTTAAACTTTTGTATTACAATGGACTCTGTCAAGAAAATGAAATCATAAGAATGGGATAAAATATTTACAAATAAATCACATATCTGATAAGGGACCTGTGTCCAGAATATGTAAAGAACTCTTACAACTCAAAAATAACATGAAAACCTATTTTAAAATAGGCAAAGGATTTGAGTAGATATATATCCAAGATATAAAAATGACCAATAAACACATGTAAAGATGTTCAACACTATTAGTCATTAGGGAACTGGAAGTTAAAACCACACCTGTTAGGATGACGATAATAGAAAAGATATCAAATGTGGAGATATTGGAATTATAGAGGATATATGGAAAACCCAAAGTGTTTTTCCCACTCTCACACGTTCAATAGAGCACCCAATCTAATGCTTCTGACACTGGATGTGTGAGGGTTGTTTCCCTACGTACAAAGTGGACATTTAGTAGGGTTTTCCATAATTTAGTTCACCGTAATCCAACTTTGACACTGCCTACTGCAGATAGTGTCCGATCCCCTAGATTAAGGGCTCAGTCTCACAACACTACCCTCTTCCCACTTCATAGTTCACTTGCAAGCCCCAGGTTGTGTCTGTGCTTCTGATTGACTGGCAATACGCCAGGG